TTTTCAGCTGCTCTTTGTGCTCTTATGTTCTTCAACATCTCGAGCTTGGAACTGGCCATAGGATCCTTGTAAAGTGGTTTATTTCATCTTCATATCCTTATCCGCTCGATTGGGCTAATAGTCTCACTAGCAGAAAAATCGATTATATCGCTAGCGTTCCATTTCAAAGGGCTCTGTTTGGATTGTGTACCAGCTGTTGGCTTCCTCTTCTGTTTTCTTTCAGCCCCAGATGGAATGCCATGAAATTTAGCCAACCCGGAGAAAACTCTCGCGGTATTCCTATTCAGAAAATAACGAGAAACGAAACCCCCGCGTTTAGATGCAAAGCTATAAAATCTATGAAGCGGCATCGGAATAATACAATCCGTATATGCCTCTGATCAGTCATAATTTTCAGTGCTGATACGGATGAAAAAGAAAAGAAAAGTGCAAGCATTTACGGGATCAGCCCATTTGGCCGCAATGGCTTCTGTGATTTTCCTTCTTTGTTCAAGGGATTTTGGTGCTCTCTTGCTACCTTTCGGTCTAGGCATCGATTTCCTTTGTTCAACACTTTCCAGCCACTCCTTTGTCAACTGTTCATCTAGTATCTTATAAGAATCCCATTGTAGCTCTTCCTCGCCACAATAGCTTTTTCTAGATGCTTAAGCGATCAAGTTCATCCACTCAAAGTGGCAAGTTTCCTGCAACATTAACTTCCCTCGACGCCTTTCCCATCCCATTCGGACTCGCACTCCGATTTTCACTCTCATCTCTTCGCTGTAGAATCATATGAAAAGAATCAGCTTACACATTAACAAGGTCAAAATGAAAGCATACATACATATATATATATATATATATATATATATATATATATATATTTGAAGCACCCACCTCTGAGCATGTCCAAGGTTAACCAACTTCATTTTAACCTGCATTTCGAAAAATCTACGAGTAAATAAACTATTATGTTATTCCATTCAAAGTTATCTACATACGAGATAAAGAAAATATCAATTGTTTTAAGGCGATCTCCTTATTCAAGTGATAGCACCATTGACTTCCCCATAAGTGTGAGAATTCAGACCACACTGAAACAGACTATGCATTCAATGGTTTGCTTTATTGGCGTTTTTGCTTAACTAGTTTCCACGATCCCAATCGGCATTAGTATATCATTCATCCTATCGAAAATTATGATGGAAAAGAACCTACATGGACCGGTTACGATGAATTAATAGATGATTGATTCTACCCCAAGCAAACATAAAACACACAAAGCTCAATCCCCGTGATAACATGAAAATTTCTTACATGACATCACCTTAGGATTCTGCATTGCAAGCCTTGTTCTCTCCCTTATCCACTGAAGCGTCTCTGATGCAGATAGAAATGAAGACATTTGTGGTAACATTGTAATAAATCAACAATGCACGAAAGAAAAACGAACCAGAATTTAATGGAAATTACCTGCACTGTGCTTCCTACCTTTGTTCGAAGGTGTGTTTCCTTTATTCTCTTTAGAAATCCTCATCCGCCTCAACTTTTCGCTCTCTTCCAATTCATCATCCGAGTCTCCCGTCTCCAAAGGTTCAGGCTGAGTCGATGTGGCGCCACTGAGCTGTAAATTATTGTTGCGCCCATCTTGTTTCGGAATCGAGCACTTTGGCTTGAGGGTTGCAACAGCTCTAACCTGGAGTTTCCCACAGTGGCTCTCCTGGTGCCCCAAATGAAAATTTATCCTCCAATGAATAGGGGAGGATTTCCATGGATTTGACAAAACTTGAACACTCACTGGAACCACAGGGCTTTGCAAGGAAGGTTTAGCAGTGCATTGGCAATATCTGTTTCAGGCAGCCAAGCACAACAATAAACATGCTCATCAGCTCATGGTTAATTTTCAGAGAAAGAAAATTCACAAATACAAGAGAAAACCAAATTTGAAAATTGGAATTTTAAAGCAAGAGTTGTTCTGAACATAAAAGAACCAGAGCAGGGAAAATTAAAGACACCAAGAATTCTTAACACCCTGACCATACAAATTCCATAAAATTAATCCAAATTCAACAAATACAAAATTTAACCTAAACATGTAAATGTTTGCTAATTTCTTCATCAAGCATCCAAAGTAGTAAAATCTTGAAGTAAGGTAAGCAAAAAAGCATACCTAGTAAAGGCATGGGAGCTCATTCAGCCCAAAGAATCAGAACTTGGAATCTTATCTCAACAAAATTTAATTAAAAAAAAAAAAGCGAGAAGCCGACATTCCAGCAAACCTGGAAGAAGAAAAGGAGAGAAACAGAGTCTCGGAGAAGAATTACGAATTTGAGATACAGAGACAATCACACAGGACCATGCACACTAGTACTACTTCTCTGACGCCGGGTTTTGGATAACGATGGACTAATATTTCCCGGTTTTTTCGTCCCGGATAACGGGTTTTTTATTTAGCTAATTAGGGCATTTTGATTTTTAATTTGAGATTTATAGTATTTTTTCCCATATTCACGAGTGATAAGTTTTAATAAAATATAATTTTTTATTAAAATTTATCACATCAAATTATATTTCACTTTAAAAAATATTATATATCCTAAAATAAATTTTTACTTGTCTTATTGAACCAATTTTACCAATATTTCCCACTTGTGAAAGCCTCCGTTGGGCCTGCTTATTTGGTGGGTTGGGTTATATTCATCAAATCATCATGGATTTTTGGTCGAATAGTGTAAATAGGTAAATTATTTGGAAAAATATGACAAATTATTTTAGGATATATATCATTTTCTACTATATTTATGGAACTCGTCATGTTGAGGTGATGAAATCTAATAAAATATTTTTTTATTAAAATTTAAATAAAATGATGCCTGAGGCCCTCCACTTTTCAAAAAAAAAAAAACAATGTTGCCCTCCACTTTTTTTCTCAATGGAACCCTCCAATTTAGAAAAAAGATTGGTCCTTTAACTAATATTTTTTGTTGTTAACTTACGAGGTCATTACTTTAAGCTGATGTTGCACGTTAAGCAGGTTAATATCTTATTTTTTTTCTCTCAATCTAACTCTCCAAAATAAGAAAATAACTCAATGACCTTATTAATGATGTTATAAATGAGAAAATTATACCATTAATCATTTAACTATCTTTTCTCTTCTATTTTAGTCACTAAATTTTAAAAATATTCAGTTTAATCACTCAACTTTTGAATTACTCTTATTTTGATCATCATGATTTATTTTATTAATATTTATGTATGATGTAGCATTTATTATTCTTATTTTATTAATATATGATTAAAATAATATTATTTAAATTAAAATTTTAAAATTATATTGAAACAAAAAAATATTCCAAAATTATAATTAAATTAAAAAAATATTTCCTCTGGTTTATATATTTCCAAATCTCCACTCTCCTCCTTTATCCACTCATTTCATTTTTCTTCCTTTTCAACCAAAGATTTTTTTTCTTCTTCCATTACTTGATCAAGTAGCTCATTCTCAGTTTTTCAATTTTTTTACAAGTTAAATTTGGGTTCACTGAATCTGGTAATGAAATAAAAAAAAGAAATCTTCGGTTGAAAAGAAAAAAATGTCACATCATACATATGCATTAATAAAATAAATCATAAGGATTGAAATATGAGCAATTCAAAAGTTGAGTGATTAAATTGAAAACTATTAAAGTTTAGTGACCAAAATAGAAGATAAAAAAGGGGAGGGTCTTGAGTTGAAGTGACATATTGAGAGAAAAAATAGGATGTTACCCTTTTGCCTAAAATTTATCACATCAAAGTAAAATGTTTGAATAAAAAAATATTTTTATAGAAACTTGTTATCTCAACGTAACGAGTTTAATATATTATAAAAAATACCGTAGATCTCAAAATAAAATTGTATTTAACCTATTTTATAAATTTAATTTTTCGGGCTGCCCTATTGGGGAAAAAATTCGATCATCATGAATGTAAGTGAAAGAGAATGTTAAGCTTAAACAATTAGTTTCTTTAACTGAACGTCTATCCAACATGTTGATAGCGGACAAAAGAATACATCAAAACCAAGAATAATAACATAAAATCTTCAATGACTCCTACATTTCAGTCGCAATTATTCCCACTAATCATCCTCCATTTCCCAGTTGACACGGCGGCGGATGCTCCATATCACCACCTTGCTTGATTACCGGTCCAACAAACGCAACCATAAAACTCGATTCAGCACCCTTCCATTTTCCCATACCAAAAAAACAAAACACACGATTCATTAACCAAAGATATGCTCTCGGAAATCTGGGTTTCCACGGCTTTGTTCGCCGCCGGCTGCTTTCACGTTTAAAGCAAACGGTTCGCGAGTATCGGCGGCCATGAAGTTGAATGTTGCGTAGTGTGCATTAGTAGGGTTTCCCGAGGGGAAAAACTCCGGTGGCTAAGGTGTGGCCATGGTTTCCATGCTTGCTGCATCGATGCATGGCTTAAAGTTGACACGACTTGCCCTATTTGCAGGGTTGACGACGCCCCTGAACGTTGCTTTCTCGTTTCTCCCATGCTTTCTTTGTCTAAAAGGGTCGGAAAATGGATCCAAAACCCTCTTTCGTCGGAGCTTACATTGCCGTTTTGCGAGAGTTTTGGGTATGTTTAGCGAAGTTAGCCGACATTACGACATGATTTCTTTTTGTTCATCTGTTTTTGTTTACAAATTACACTGTAGTCTGCATAAAGCCATTCTTTCTACGGTTCATGTACTTTACGAAACTTGTATTCATGTACTTCTAACTTCCTACAAATTGGATAAGGAGAGGATTGAATTCCTATAATTAAAAGCAGAGTGACTGAATTTCAAAGTTGAAAAAGTTGAGGGACTTGAAAAAAAATTATGCATGGTAGCTAGAGATTTAACAACTTTCATTTGTGTTCTTAATGCAAGCAATATAAGCCTTCCCCTTGAATACAATGGTAATATTCTAGATTAGCCCCTTTCAGAATTAATAATTTGATATAAGTCCTTTAACCCCTTTTAACTAAAAAAAAGTTCACTTGCAACTAATTTTAGAAATGGAATTTCAATTTCGTTGACTACATGAATCACATATGATCTAAATTAACTAGGAGAGCTGGTTCTAGTTGCAACTCACAAAACCCTATATGTCAAATATCCCACCATAATTGATAGATCCAGTTACCTCATTAAATGTCGCGAAGTTCCCCAGTTTTTGCCCCATCTCGAATACCCAATCATTGATACAACTATGTCACCAAATAGACAGGTCCATAGGAGTTGACATGATAAGGATTGTTAAGCCGGTCAAGACTCGTGTAAGGCAACTCATTCTCCATCTTCCTTCTAGGGGCGAAAAGGACCGAGAACGGCGGCCCCGACAATGGACGCAGGCTTGGTGTTTCGACCCCCTTGGTGGTTCCACACAACGGACCCGAATCGTAATGTTTATTAGAAACATGGACAGGATCCGAACCCGGTTTGCTCTTCCTGTCAATTTTGCACCATGAGAAGAGTGAGTGTCTCCATGATTTCTTGCTCTTTTTCGCAGCCCCTGATCTTGTTTCGGAACATGAAGATGACCGCTGCAAGTTTATGCCCCTTGCATGCTGCCTTGCGTCTTCTAGAAACTGAAAAACGAACACACCCCATAATTGGCTTTAGATACTGGAATTTTGATCTTGAAGCAACAGAATAAGAAAAGGGTTTGTGTATCTACCTGTGAAAAGTTCACCCGAGGATCGAATTCATAGCAAGAACGATCTTTCGTCTCGTGTTTCGGACTTGTCGGAGAGTTGCTCATGGTTTCCTGGGAGTTATAAACACCAAGATTGTAGCATAAATCAAGATAAGATAACAGAGAAGTAATAAAGAAGCAAAAAATGAAAAGGGGCAATGGTTGATTTAGATCATAAATGAAGGAAATGGATATTTCTTGAACTCCAAGCACTGGAATGATTTTCAACAAAGGGAAGGGGGCAACCACCAAACTTGAAACCCCATCAAACCCCCTATATTGGAGATTAATGGAAACTGAAAACAGTTTTTGGTAGTTGAAATGACAAGCTTCTACATATATAATTTATACATCAAGATACGACAAGGGTTATGGATATTAAGATTCGAATATAGCTATAGAATTAAATATGAGTTTTTAACTTTTTTTGTATATTTGGTATATGTAAAAGTACAGCAGTGGGGTAGATAGCCCTTTGTATTAATTCTGTCAAGTACCCCAAAATAATACTGCAAAAGCCAATAGATATATATGTAGGCAGCTAAACAACGTTTCAACTAAAGAAGCACGCCACATCAAAATTAAAATAATAAAAATAAAAGAATTAATGGGAAGGAATGAAATCATTGTCTTGGCTCAAATTAAACCTACTCATCAAGGCTGGCCCGGAAATTGAGGTGATTTCCGACATAGGTTCCCATTATTCAATTTCAGCCGAAAGGGGACATGAATTTTATTAGCCCTGAAAAGTGAAAGTTCAAAATTGCTGATCCCATGTTAGCATAGTCAGGACAGCGGCCAATTAATAGTTAACCAGTTCCTGATTTAATGGTAAAGTTCTGTTTTTTTCCGATTTGAATTGAACAATATATTAAGTATACTTAAAGTTGTGATTATATTTTCTCAAATAGTTTTGGTTTTTTTTATAATTATAGTTGATAGTTATCACTAGTAGAGGATGAGGAAGAAACAGATATCGTCAACGTTCGTACGCACGACCTGTGAATCAAATAATGCTCGACCTCGTCTCATCCATTACAACCCTAATAGAGTATTACACTGCCCGTGTTATGATTCAAAACAGGATTTAACTAAAAATTGACCAACATTAAAAGCATGTACGTTTCAAACTCAGTAGTTAATTATCAACATGAACTTTAACATAGGATACATAATCAGTCAACATCCAACTTAACCTTCCTTGGAATCTTATCAAAACTCCCCTATACTTTCTTTCTACTAACATGACAAGCCTAAGGAGCATTGAAATGGATTCCCTCGACTAGACACACTGTACTATCACTAACCATAATGGAATTTTCCCATGTTGTACCCCCCCTCCCCCGACATTAAAGTTGAAGCAGCGGCAACACCATCACGATTCCGAAGATGGAAAACAGCAACAACATCACCCACGTTGGGAATGGTTGTTTACTGTTTCTTGTATCCCTCGGCTTATCTACATTTTTAACATCTTCCGCGGAAGAGTTGACAAGTTTTTCTATCTCGGGTCTAGGGTTATCTCCTTGAGGTGATTCTGCATATAAATGCTCCGGCACAAGTAGTTGTCGCTTGTTGTACTTATCGACATACTCTGGAAACAATTTTCTGAATGTCGGGCTGCCATAGAAAAACCTATGTTGTAATTCTCAATTTGTAAAGAGATGTCCACGAAAAGTTTAGAGATAAAACGGTTGGCTAATAAGAATCCAGCCAATTCTAATAAATTTAGCTTCAACACGAAAACAATTAACAGGCGCAAAAGCATTATCAATTAAGCATACTAGCAGAAAATGGGTGAAACTGATTTGAAGAGCCCTACTTCTCAAAACAAGAGAGAGAAAGAATCCAGTGTATGTGAAGTAATAAACTTACTTTTTACAATTAAAAGAAAGGGATGTCTTTGCCAGGCGTATTTTCTCGGCAGCAGTAGCATTTACGCTGCCAGTGGTAGGACTGTTATCTATCTGCACAAGAAAAAGGCAGTTTGGCTTAAGGAAACATTCCAAACGCAAGCAAGAAGTACTGCAGCTTATCAAAAATGCAATTTAAATGAATTAAGACACAAGAAAGACTCCAAGTTTCACCATGAAAGACAGAAGCCCTGTGAGTATGCTGCAAAATAAAACAAAAAAAGAAGTTAGCAATCTTTGGCAACTGTTTCACATGTCAACACCACCCTATGAGTAATTGGGTGCTTGAAAAGGTTCCAAAAAAGGGTGCAATTAGACTGAAATCTTGTACCTTGATACAGACCATGTCGTAACCGATTTTCGTCCGGGCACGAAATATTATAATTTGGCGGGAAAATTGACGTGAATAAATAATTTTGAAAATAATTTGTGAGTCGCCATCGGCCTTTTGGGTCAGGTAGGTCGAATACCTAAAAATTATTTTTTTTAAAAGAGTTTTAAGAAAACACTAATAAAAAATGAACTGATCTGCGTTTATAACCAAAAATTCGTTCTTTTTAATAATAAAAAGGGATTCGTGGTCGGTTACGTTTAGGGAAGGATTAGCACCCCTACAACGCCCAAAATTGGTACTTTTTAATTATAAATTGTCTCTATTATTAAAATTTTTTAAAAATTCAAAAATATATTTAATTTATAATCCTATTATTTCAAATTTATAAAAAATATTTATTTATTTAAAAATATCAGAAAAGAACTTCTAGGTGCCTTAAGACAGCTCCTTTCTTTGATATTGATAAATATTAATTTAAATAATATTGTTTAATTTTTAATTTTAAAATATCAGAATAGGACATCCAGTTGTATTAAGACTGTCCTTTTCTTCGATATTAAAAATAAATATTTAAAAATTACTATTTATTATATATATATATTTATGAATACATAAATATATAAACAAATAAAATAAAAATACCACTAAAATAATATATTTTAAAAGCAGTAAAATAAATGAAAACATATAAATAAATGACTAAATTATAGTAAAAATAAAATTTAAAAATCTAATTTAATTAATCAAAATTATAGGGATTAAACATGCTATTTCTTTATTTTATTTATTTAATGACTAAAATAAAATTATCTAAAATTCGGATATTAGAATAAAATAAATTAAAAATATAAACTAAGGATTAAAATATTATTTATTAAAATTAAGGGATTAAATCTGTTATTTATCCTAAATATATTATTTTAATATAAAGGACTAAAATAAAAGAAATTAAAATTCGAAGACTGAATTAAAAATATTATAAATTCAATTTAATGACTAAAATGTAAAACATATAAAACATAGGGATTACGGAAAGGGTTTAACATTTATAAAATTACACAAATAGCCCTCCCCAAAACGGCGTCGTTTGGAAAGGGCTATTTAATGCCCAAACCGGCTGGCCCTTCGGGCCAGCTATCTCATTTCTTTTTTTTTTCTTTCTCTCTCAAACAGAGAGAGAAGAGTTCTCTGGCTTCTCTCTAAACTGAGAGAAGCCGTCCCGGTCAGCCACCACTACCGGGCTCCGACCACCGCTGCCGGCCACCGTTAATGGTGGCCGGAAATTACAAAAATCCACCAAAATATAGATCGGGACGGTCTAAAACCGTTTCCGGTGTTCTTTTTCCTTAAAAAGCTCCCAATCGGAGCAGATCTACAAAAATACCTTCGGTTTTCGTTGTATCCGGCGACGGTTGGGGTTCTCCGATGACAGAGTAAGCTTCTTTCCTCTCTTCTCTCCTTTTTTTTCTTGCTGCGTTGATGTTGACTGAGATCGTTGGTATATTTTTTAGTATATTTTTTTTTCTCTGTTTTTTTTTCTCTCTGTCTCTCTGTGTTCTCTGTCTCTCCGTTTTTTTTTCTGTCCCTGTTTTTTTTTTTTTTTTGGTTGGGGTGGTGGCTTTTATAGCCACCACCGGTGTGGCCATCGGACCGGTCCGAAGATGGGGTCTCGGTGAGTCACCGGACTACCAGTGGTGACTCACCCCGTAGCCATGGCGTGGACGGCTGGCGTTGGAGCTTCTGGAGCCTTCGGTTGGGACGTGGCAGCGGCGGAGGCGGCGAGATAGCAGCGGCGGCCGCGTGTCCCTAGGGTATCAGACCCTAGGGTTTCCATCTGGGGCAATCTGGATCGTTGGATCTCTTAGATCCAACGGCTGTGATGAGGCGGCCGGCTAGATTAGGGTTAGGAAACCCTAACTGAAACCCCCAAATGTTTAGGGTTTCTGGTTTGTTCTGGACCGGTTCTGGTTTGTTTGTAACTGGGCCGGTCCATTTGTAATTGGCATGTAATTAATTATTTATATATATTTAATATATTTAATAATAATAATAATGATAATAATAATAATAATAATAATAATAATAATAATAATAATAATAATAATAATAATAGTAATGTGGGTAAAAAATTAGTATCTTCAGCTGCCCCTCTTTGCTCATTCTTGTGTTAACAAGAATAGGGCAAAGATGAAAAGATAATAAAATTTTTTATCCATTTGGCTTCACTTGATTATAATGGAGATATTGAATAAATTCTTCTCTTTCTTCAGATGAGTTCTTCTCATTATGAACTTTCTGCTGGGGATGATGATCCATCAAATGATGAATTCAAGCAAAAGATTGAACAAGTTCTTCTCATTATGAACTTCTTCTTCCTTCTTCAGATGACGAGTTCTTCTCATTATGAACTCTACCTGGCAATGTTGATCCATCAAATGATGAATTCAAGCAAAAGATTGAACAAGTTCTTCTCATTATGAACTTCTTCTTCCTTCTTCAGATGAGTTCTTCTCATTATGAACCTTCTCTGGAAAAGATAATCCATCAATTTGATGAATTCAGAAAAAAGGTTGAACAAATTCTTCTCATTATGAACTTCTTCTTCCTTCTTCAGATGAGTTCTTCTCATTATGAACCTTCTCTGGAAAAGATAATCCATCAATTTGATGAATTCAGGAAAAAGGTTGAACAAATTCTTCTCATTATGAACTTCTTCTTCCTTCTTCAGATGAGTTCTTCTCATTATGAACCTTCTCTGGAAAAGATAATCCATCAATTTGATGAATTCAGGAAAAAGGTTGAACAAATTCTTCTCATTATGAACTTCTTCTTCCTTCTTCAGATGAGTTCTTCTCATTATGAACCTTCTCTGGAAAAGCTGATCCATCAAGTGATAGAATTAGGCAGAAGGTTGAACAAATTCTTCTCATTATGAATTTCTTCTTCCTTCTTCAGATGAGTTCTTCTCATTATGAACATTCTCTTGAAATGTCAATCCATCAAATGATAGATTTGAATCTTTGCTAAAATCTTTGAAAT